CCACCACGCCAGGCTAATTGTTGTATTTTTAGTAAAGATGGGGTTTCACCATGTTGGCCAGGCTGGTCTCCAACTCCTGACCTCAGGTGATCTGCCTGCCTCAGCCTCCCAAAGTGCTGGGATTATAGGTATGAGCCACTGCACCCAGCCTCGTTTATGTTTTATATACACCTTATGTACATAGCCTGAAGGTAATTTTACTTTTCCCTTGGGGATGCTGAATAAACTGCATTGTGCACCTGCATTTTGATTGCCACCTGTCACATGAAGTCAGGTATGGAATCTCCTACTTTTGACGTCATGTTAGGGCTCAAAAAGTTTTGGATTTTGGAGCATTTTGGATTTTGGATGTTTGGATTAGGCATGCTTAACCTGTATTCTTTTTGTGTACTGCTGGATTTCCTTTGCTGGTGTTTTGTTGGAGATTTTTGGATGTATACTCATAAGAGATATTGGTCTGTGATTTTCTCTTTTCTGCAATGTTTTTACCTGGTTTTAGTATCAAAGTAATGGAGGAAGTGTTTCTTCCTCTTCCGTTTCCTGGGAGACATTTTATAGAATCTATGTTAATTCTTTAAACATTTGTTAGAATTTACTGCTGACACTATCCAAGCCTGGAGATCTATTTTACACAATGCTTTTAACTATGAATTTCAAAAAAAAGTGTTCTTTTGAGACAGGGCCTTGCTCTGTTGCCCAGGCTGGAGGGCAGTAGCATGATCGCAGCCCACTGCACCTCGACTCCCCCGGCTCAAGGGATCATCCCATCTCAGCCTCCTGAGCAGCTGGGACTACAGCCGTGTGCCACCAAGCCTGGCTAATTTTTAAAAAATGTTTTGTAGAGATGAGGGTCTCACTGTGTTGCCCTGGCTGATCTCAAACTCCTGGGGCAAGTGATCCTCCCGCCTCTGCCTCCCAAAGTACTGGTAGTACAGGCATGAGCCGCTGTCAGACGTGGCCTCCATCCTGCTGTTAAGTCCATTGAGCAAGCTGTTTATTTCAGTTATTCTATTCCTTAGTTCTAAAATTTCTCCATTTGATTCTTCTCTCTGTTTTTGAGACAGGGGCTTACTCTGTTGCCCAGGCTGGAGTATAGTGGTGCAGCCATAGCTCACTGCAGCCTCAGCCTCCTGTGCTCAAGTGATGCTCCCACCTGAGCCTGCTGGGTAGCTGAGACCACAGGCGAGCACCACCATGCCTGGCTGGGTTTTTTAATTTTGTAGAGACCAGGACTTGCTGTGTTGCCCAGGCTGTTCTCAAATTTCTGGTTCATTCTTCATCATCTGTTTATTTGATGAGACTTTCTATTTTAACATGTGTTGCAAGCATTTGCAATTTTTAAAATAGCTGTTTGAAGTCTTTGTCAGATAATCCCAACATCTGTGAAGTGTTGACATTGGTTGATTGGGTTTTCCAGGCAGGTTGACATTTTCGTGGTTGGTTGTATGCTGAGTCATTTTGGATTGTATCCTAGACTTTTTTTTTTTTGAGACGGAGTCTCGCTCTGTCCCCCAGGCTGGAGTACAATGGTGCAGTCCTGGCTCACTGCAACCTCCGCCTCCTGGGTTCAAGCACTTCCCCTGCCTCAGCCTCCCGAGTAGCTGGGATTTCAGGACCATACCTGGCTAATTTTTGTATTTCTAGTAGAGACGGGGTTTCACCATGTTGGCCAGGCCGGTCTCGAACTCCTGACCTCATGATCCACCTGCCTTGACTTCCCAAAGTGCTGGGATTACAGGTGTTTGCCACTGCACCCGGTCATATTCTAGGTCTTATTTAAACTATATGGGAAATACTGATATTTTTGTTTTGGCCGGGGGCCAGTCTTTCAGGCCACAAGTTCCAACCTCCAACCTGTGGGCCATGAACATCAGGTCGGTTTTTAAAGCTCCTACTTAGGTCTCCTAGGTGTGCACCGCCCAGTGGTCAGTCTGGGACCAGGGTGGTTAGTTCCATTCTCAGAGTCTTTGGTAAGTGGAAGTATGGTATACACACAGGATGCACACATGCTCGATTCTAGAGCGTTCTGGAGACATCAGCCACTTGATGGGTGACTTTCCTGAGCCCCTGCCTCTGTGCTTTCTATCTGGCACTTTCACATTCCTTGCGGTGTTCTCGGTTGCACACATCTGCCACTGGGCCCGCATCCAGCCCACATGGGGAGAGCACAGAGAGAGAAAAGGACAACAGTCCCCCCCCACCCTTGGAACAGTAGCTAGCACCACAGGGCCTGGGGCATGAGGAACGCGGAGATGAGGACTTGTGTTTTCTGGGAGCATCAGGAGCTCCTCTTGCCCTGGAGCCCGGCCTGGAGGCTCTGCTGAGCTCTCGTCTGCTCTGTGGTGCTCACTCCTGCCTCCAGGTTTCTGCTGCCCTTTCTTGTGGGAGCGGCGGGGACACTGTGCATTCGGTGGCTCTTCCCTGGTCCACCTGCTGCTGTCTTCGGTGTTCCGGCAGCTGCCAAGCCTCCTGCCCAGGTTTCAGAGCTGTAGTCGGCGGCAGGGGAAGCAGCGTCCACCGACCCACCTTGCCAGCCATTTGCTTTTGTGTTCACACTGGCCGCCTCCCCACGGTGTGGTGGACGGTGACGGGCTCAGCCGATCCAGGCTGAGGATCACTCAGGCGCCCATTTCTGATGGTCACAGGCCATGCAGCATTGAGCAGTCTTGCTCAGCCCCAGACGTGTGCACTTGGGTGTCTCCATGACCTGGGTCGGAATTTCTGGAGGGCTGAGGCCCCAGACACGGAATTGCCGAGGAGAGTGCTGCCCAGACTGTCTCCCAGCGCGCTCTGTGCAGACCTCTTTGCATTCTTACTTTCTAAGCTATGGGATGGGACAGTAGCCTCGCTAATAACCGCCTTCCCCTCTCCTCTGGGGACCCTTGTCTGATTGTTTATTGAGCCCAAAACAGGATCCATCTGGGTGCCCTGGGATGCAAAGGCAAGTCCCAGAGGCAGCTTAGAGCTGAGCAGGAAAGCTATGGGTCTGCAGGGGCCCCCACCACAGGGCTCTGCTATGCGTGGCTCCACCTGGAAGGACCCCACTCCTCCTCACGGGTCAGCCCAAGGGCAGCCGTCAGAATGCCGCCTTCCTAAGTCACTTGCAGAGCTCGCGGCTGGGTCAACATTTACCTCCAGATTGATTATCTGGGTGGAGCCTGGTACTTACACAGCCAGGCCCTCAGCAAGCATCCCTTCAGCGCCCACCCTGGGAAGGGCACCTGCTCTGGGCAGCTAGTCACACCTCAGCTGAGAAGGTCCCGATTGCTGCCCGCAGGACCGAGATCAGCCTTGTGGGCTGCGTGGCTTTTCGGCTTCACTCCCTGGGCCTGCCCTCGCAGCATTTGTGACCTCACATGTTCAAGTAGCTGGCTGCCAGGGACAGTCCCAACTCCCTGCGGGGGAGGCAGCATCCAGGGCGAATGAGAGGCCGTCACAATCGAGTGGAGGCCCTCCGAGAATGAGGCAGGCGGAATCCCAGTGCTCAGGCTCCGGGAGCCCCGGCCGGTGAGGGTCCTGCGCGCCTGAGCCTCCTCGTGCCCACTGAGCACCTGTTGTCTCACACGCCGTTTCTGGAGCAGGACGTGGCAGTGCGCAGCCCCACGTGGCTTCCCCGAGCAGAGAGATAGACAAGTAGGCAGACTCAGGGAAGCGCTTGTGCACTGTGGGACTGGGGAGCCGCCTTCAAGATGGGGACAGGATGGTGACAGGAGGCGAGGGTGCGGAGGGGACAGACCAGAGAACTTGGGGCTGTGTCTGCTTCCCTGCCCCTCCCATGGCTGCCATTTGCTTGGTGCCTCAGTTTTCCTGATTCGCTCAGAGGCGAGGGTGGGGAGGTGACAGACCAGAGCCCTCGGGGCCATGTCTGGTTGGCGCCTCAGTTTTCCCAGTTCCCTCAGAGGCAGCAAGCTGGTGAGAGGCTTTAGCGTGTCTACCTGGTGCTTTTTGGATGTCACATGTAAGACTGCACAGACTCTCCTGCTCCTCTGCAGACAGGAAACACAGGCCCTGCACCATGTTAGCCTGGCTGGAGCCAGCATCTGGCCCCAGGTGTCCAAGTTGGTGGCCCCGGTCTGTGCAGCATGGCAGTGTGCAGTGGTGGCCAGGGCTGCAGCCCCAGCGATTCTTCTGTCAATCTGCACCCTCAGCACAGGGCCTCCGATCTGAGCGTGTTTCGTCACCTCTAAAATCGGTGCAGGAAGAGATGCTCAGGACAGGCGGGGGGTGGAGGACCATCGCCCTGCTGTGGATTTCTAATTGCACTCTCAGACGTGTCCCAGCACCTCGCCAGGGTCCCTCCTCCAGAGGTGGTCGAGGCATGTGTGGAGCAGAGCAATGCCTGGCGTGGTGGAAATGCTGTGTCAGCCTTGTGACTGGATTGAAGTGGATTATTTGGGATCAAGTGTTATCACACATCAGGGTGGCCCTGGGAAGCAGGCAGGGGTCCAGCCCTGGGGGATGAGGGGCCAGTGGCCTTCCTGGGAGGTCAAGAGGAGAAACAGCTTTCAAGAAGTCAGTCTGATCTGGTCCAAGAGACCCTGGCTCAGCCCATCGGGTGAGCAGGGACCAAAAGGTCCTGGCCCGGGGCTGCCGAGCTCAGGGCCTCTCAAGGCTGGCTCAGCATGGGGACTGGCTGCTGGTTCAGCCCGGGGGATTCAGGGGACTCTCAGGAGGGAAGGACTGGTGCAAGAGAGAGAACCCTCGGGGCTCCAGACACACATCACCTGGCCCCAGTGTGACCCGAGGCCCAGGGGACAGGACCCGGTATCCGCCTCATGTCCACAGGGCGCTGGAGTGGGGTGGGTGTCAGCCAGGCGTGGGTTGGGTGGTAGGCCTGAGCCACAGCTGGGAGTCTCCCAGCTTAGGGGACAAACAGGAGGGGAATGGGCTGGGGTTTGAGAAGGGCGTTGAGAGTGGGGTGGCCAGAGGGTCACACGACATGACGGGAGGCAGTGGCTGGTGTTGGGGACGTCCCCGAACGCCCACACTGCCACCCCCAGGTCAGCGCCAACGGCAACGTCCTGCGCAGCGAGATCGTGGGCTCCATCAAGATGCGGGTGTTCCTCTCAGGGATGCCTGAGCTGCGCCTGGGCCTCAATGACAAGGTCCTCTTTGACAACACAGGCCGTGAGTACCCGCACCGCGGGTCCTGCCATGAGGATGGCTTCACGGGGTACGCATAGTACAGCCCAGGCCAGGGTTGGGCCAGGCAGAGGACGAGCTGCTTTGGCACCATTTCCACTGCTTCACAGCCAGCCGCGTAGAGCATCCATCTGTCCTGGCAGAGTAGGCACAGGCAGTGAAAACCCTCAGTGCAGCTGTGAGGCCCCCGTCACCTGGCCTTACACGGCAGGTCCGGCACTCTGCCCTGCGTTGCCTGAGCTGCTGGACTTGGCGAGGCCTGGCTCTCTCCTCCCTCCCAGTCCAGGTTTCTCCCCGACCTTGGGCCGTAGGTATGGGCTGTGTGAAGGCCACACATGGTGATTCTTGCTCCCGCCGCCTGGCCTCTTAACACTTCCCACAGCTGGGCGGGGCCAGAGGGGCTCAGGGCCTGGGTTTGCGAACTGCGTCTCCCACCTCTCAGCCATCACAGGCCACTGAAAGAGAGTGCTGTGGCTGAGCACACCCCCATTCCTGGCCCAGCGAGCACTTCTGGGGCATCGGCCCATCAGGGCAGCGACCCCCCACCCCGGGCTGGGCAGGGCCCCACCCACATAGCCCTTGGTGAGGTGGGAAACCAAGGTAGGACCCAGGATCCCATAGATGACAGGGTCTGAGCCCTGAGCCATCCCCCAGCCGAGTCCACCAACTGGGCCCTGGGATGGCCGCTGAGGACTCAGCATGAACCAGACCCACCAGCCCTGCCCCTGGGAACCCAGGGGTGTGAGGAGTGGCAGGGCGGTTGTCTTGGGACCCAGCCCCCTTGGTGTTGGTGGCCCAGGCTGCTCTTGGTGCGTGGACTGGGGCCCCTGCTCTGCCCAGGGTGGGCCCAGGTGGTAGGAGTGCCGCTGAGAGCGCGACCAGAGGGCCCAGGTCTGTCCTGCCCTCACCCCGACTCCAGGCGGCAAAAGCAAATCCGTGGAGCTGGAGGATGTGAAGTTCCACCAGTGTGTGCGGCTGTCACGCTTCGAGAACGACCGCACCATCTCCTTCATCCCGCCCGATGGCGAGTTCGAGCTCATGTCCTACCGCCTCAACACCCACGTGAGTGTGCCACCCTAGGGCTGGGCTGCAGGCAGCTTCTCCTTTACCTTGAGGAGGGGAAGCCCAGGCAGGCACGGGGGCCGGGCCCACCCCACACTCTATGAGCTGTCTGGCTCTGCAGAGACCGAGTCTGAGGATCTGGGACTCCGAGCTTTCTGAGGGGCACAGACCCCGTTGGCCACCACCACCTACTTCCCAGGCAGTCCCTAGAGCGGGCCCCGGTCCTGTTTTCTGCATTGGCACTGACGCCTCCCCGGTAGCTCCCGGCTGCCTCGGCCCTCCCTGATGCTGGCTGTGCATGCCCTGGGGGGCCCTAGGCCCACATCCAGGCAGATGGTCCCTTTCCCTGGGCCTCAGTTTCCCCTCTGAAATGGGGCTTTGTCAAGCATGGCCAGGCGTGAGCACGCTGTTTGCCCTCCCTCCTCGGCAGGTCAAGCCTTTGATATGGATCGAGTCGGTGATTGAGAAGCACTCCCACAGCCGCATCGAGTACATGATCAAGGTGCGGGGCCGAGGGGAGGGCCTGCTGGCCCGTTCCGGGGCCTAACCCAGGGCTGTGGGTGCCGGGGAGCTGCCATCTGTGCACTTTCTGTGGCCTCAGATGCAGGAGTGGCCTGCCCCTAGATGGTGCCACTTGTGGGGAGGGGCCTACAGCCAGGACACTCAGCGGTGTTGCCCAGCAGGTGGACCACCTCTGCCCTCAGTGGGCCCTGTCCAGCCCAACCTGGCCCTGGGGACACAGACACTGTCCCAGGAGGGCAGGGCAGAGGGAGGGATGGGGAGCCTCAGAAGCTGAGCAGACAGGAGAAGCAAGATGAAACTCCTGAAATTAGACCTTGGGAGAGTCTCAAAGCTGGGATGGGGGTGGGCAGTGCCTGGAGAAGTGGGGTCGGGTGGGGGTAGGGAAGATCCCCCAGGCCAGGCTGAGGGCCATGTGGCCTGGAGGGGCTGGGCCAGGTCCCCGTGGCCTCCATAACCCTGGGCTGCATCGGCCTGGTCTGCAGGCCAAAAGCCAGTTCAAGCGGCGGTCAACAGCCAACAACGTGGAGATCCACATTCCTGTGCCCAACGATGCCGACTCGCCCAAGTTCAAGACGACGGTGGGGAACGTCAAGTGGGTCCCCGAGAATAGTGAGATCGTGTGGTCCATCAAGTCCTTCCCGGTGAGTGCCCCGCGCCTGTCTCCACGACGCAGCCCAAGTGCTGTCGGACCTCGAGATGGGGTGACAGTGGCCACCATGTCCCCCACCCCTGGGCTTCTGAAAGGGTGGACGGAGAGCCAAGGACTGGAGGGAAAGCAGGAGGAGGCAGAGGCTGACTGGGCCCCTCGGCCCCTTTCTGTTTGTAAACCAGCATCTATCTCTACCCTCAGGGCAGCACCCTCTCCCTCCCTCTCTGTGATGCCCCCGAGTACCAATGTTAGATGGGGCTCCAGTGCATACAGGCCTGAAGGGGCCCCTTCCGTGTAGGCCATCGAGGTGCACTGCTGCCGGTCGGCCGGAGCAGCATGGCCTCCAGCGCCCCGCACCAGCCGCCTGTGTCCTGGGCGAGCTCTGCACTGGTGTGGCTGTCCCCGCACCGTGTTAAGGATTCTGAGGACTTGAGTCTGGGCTTTCGAGAGTATGCGGTGGCCAGAGAGGCTAGGCCCGGGCATGGCTCTAGAGCTGAGCCGGGTGGTCCTGACCTGCTCCGCCAGGCACTGCTTTCCATGTTCTCTTCTCTCCTCTCCGTCTGCATCCCACGGGCACTTGGGGACAGCCCCTTGAATTCCGTGACATTACTTTCCCTCACAGCCTCAATCTGATCACATGACATAAAATACAGCACATAGAGGAAGGAGAAAGAAAAGCTGGTAACCCTTTTCTTTCTTTGAGACAGAATCTTGCTCCGTCACTCAGGCTGGAGTGCGGTGGTGTGATCTGGGCTCACTGCAACCTCTGCCTTTCGGGTTTAAGCAATCCTCCTGCCTTAGCCACCATGCCTGGCTAATTTTTGTATTTTTAGTAGAGATGGGGTTTCACCATGTTGGCCAGGATGGTCTTGATCTCTTGACCTCATGATCTGCCTGCCTTGGCCTCCTATAGTGCTGGGATTACAGGCGTAAGCCACCACACCAAGCCTGGCTATTTGCTTTTAAACCTAGAGTGTTTCTCAGTCCTGCCCCTACCGCTGTTACCAGGGTAGAGAATCTGACATGTGTCCATGACACTGTCCCTCCGGACAGAGAGCCGGGCCGGGCTCTGCGTTCCCCATAGCGCCCACTTCACAGAAGTGGCTGCCCCGTTACTGGGTGTATGGGTACCCGTGATATTGTGTTGTCCCTGTGGCTTATGGGCCAGCAGCCTCTAGGCTTGTGACCCATCCTCCTGCACAGCTGTCATTCTCCCTGTGATGACGGCAGCACGCCTGCCGCTGCCTGTCCTTCCTGCCCGGGAGCCCTTCTCACTGTGCTTTTTTGGCATCAAGGGGGTTTGGTGTTGAACTGGCACCAGCCTACAGTTCTCATCGAGAGCAGAGTTAAAGCCACTCAGCTCAGCATGACGACACGGGCTGGGTGTGCGGACCTTCACTGCCCCTGCAGAGTCTGCTTCCCTGCATTTTCTTTGGCTTGTGTTTTCCTGTCGGTCTTGCTAAGGTTCAGATCTGGGGTTCAGGTGAGGCGCCGAGGGGGTTTATGCCCTTGCTGCCTGCTTTACCAACTGCTGCTGTCTCGTTATCCTCCCCTCAGCACACGTCACGCTGCCCTAGTGGCAGCAGGCAGAGATGGGCCACTCTGCCTGCCCCAGCTGCACGGGGAAGGCCCCTGCCCCGAGGCGGAAACAGCCCTAGTCGCAGCTCCCACTGAACCTCGGCCCGAGTCCTGGGGAACAGAGACTGTGGGTTCCAGGTGTGCCCAGAGTTGAGATTGTGTCCCTGACTGCTCAGGGCAGGACCAGGCACTGGGGACGCCCAGGCTGTGACCTCTTGTTCCTCAAGGCAGGGTGAAGATCACTGCCAGGATGCAGGTTCCAGCCAGAGCTGCCCCCTGCTCACCCTTAGGGCTGACCTGTCACTCAGGGCGTGCTTCTTGGTTTCTTCCTTTTGTCACCTCTCCCTGTTCATGGTTCTCACCTTGACACACTCTTCACGTGCTGTCCTGAGAGTCGACGCATGGCCCCTGATCCCCGGCAGCCCTCACCTGCCACAGTCATTGCACCCTCCCTCCCTCTTCCTTCCCATGGCCAGTCTGTCTTGTTCGCCAGCCTTGGGGGAAAGTGCACTGGGGGAGCTGGGGTGCTGGGCCACTGCAGGTGACACAGGCGACATTGCAGGGGCTTGGTGAGCTCAGCTCTGGGTGCCTGGGAGTCCTCTTGGGGCAGCTGGGCACTCCAGTGCAGGGTCAAGCTTTCACTCCCCAGCACAGGGACTCACGCTCCCCTCCCTGGACTGGGGTGAATGGTCAGTCTCTGCTCATCGCCACTAGGGCCAGAGCTGTTGGCCAAGCTGGGGGCAGGGCCTGGGCCTGAGCGCCTCCCTGTCTGCTCCCCAGGGTGGCAAGGAGTACCTGATGCGGGCCCACTTCGGCCTGCCCAGCGTGGAGGCAGAGGACAAGGAGGGCAAGCCCCCGATCAGCGTCAAGTTCGAGATCCCTTACTTCACTACCTCTGGCATCCAGGTATGTACAGCCCAGGTGAGGCCGCAGGTGACAGACGTCAATGCAGCCAGCATGGAAAAAAGGGTCGGGCAGCTGCAGCCAGGACCCCATGGTGCCACGGGGCTCCGCCTCCCCACAGGCAGTGGGACTCCAGCTGAGGAGAGGCGAGGCTGCCTCTGCTTAGCCCTGAGCTCAAAGCTCAGACTCATTCTGCCCCAAAACTAGCATTTGAGGCTCTACTGTCCACACTAATGCACCATGGGAACCTCTTCCCTGGCACCCCCTCAAAAGCCCACGGCAGGAGAGGCTTAAGGACAGCCCAGGGCCTTCTGGCTGGGCTCCCCAGCAGGCTGCTGAGGCCGAGTCTGCGAGGCTCACCCTGGTCATCACTGCTTCCAGAGGTGGCTCTGCCCTCCCATGCCTCTGCACGGTCCAGACACAAATCCCCCTCACCCCCGAGGTCTGTGCTCATCCACTCGTCACAGCCTCCCCTGCCAGCCAGCAGGAATGGTTACGGGGGGACCAACAGGGATGGGAGCCTGCGGTGCTTAGGGCCTTGCAACCTGTGCCCCAGGTGCGCTACCTGAAGATCATTGAGAAGAGCGGGTACCAGGCCCTGCCCTGGGTGCGTTACATCACACAGAACGGAGGTGAGTGCGGCCCCACCATGGGGTGGGGTTGTGCTGAGGGGTCTTTGGTGGCTGCCCCCAGGGTGGAGTGGTCGGGTCCTAAAAGCCTTGTCAGGTGCCCCCCATCCTGGGTGCAGAGTCCAACATGAGGCCTCCCTCCTGTCTCCTAGATTACCAGCTCCGGACCCAGTGAGGGGCTGTCGCTGCCAATGCCCCGGCCCCAGCACCAGGGGACACACCTGCCAAGCCCACCGGATGGAGGGGCCCTCCCTGGACTCGGGCTAGCCTCCATCCAGGGACCCCTGCCTTCCCCAGGCCACCTGCTCTGCCATCAACACTCATCTCAGAAGCCGCATTTCCCGAAGAGGCTGGTCTTCAAAAAGTCTCGTCTCTTTGCCCCTGAAGTCAGTTTCAGGGGAAGGAGATGAAAACTTTCCCTCTAGAGGTTACAGCCTTTTATGCTGTTGAGCTCCCAGGTACTAAGAAGCTTGGCCAGCGCTTGCCAGACAGACAGCTGCAGGTGGCATCTGCCACCAAGGAAGCGCCAGCCTCACCAGGCCAGCCGGTGCGTCGTCTTGTTGCCATTTTGTTGAACGTGATGGGTTTATGGGTGTTCCTGGAGCTTGTCTTTGTGCGTTCGTTGCTGTTTGTTACCCTCACCATCCCACATCCCAGGGCACTCAGGCAGCACTTGGTGAGGACGGGCCCTCATCCTCGTCTTCCTCCCCAGCAGTGCATGCAGGGGGCCGTTTACACATTGGTGCCGGGACCTGGTGCTCTCGGGGGCCACTGCAGCATCTGCCTGCTCCCTGGAGGCCCCTGTTCTGGACTCACAGGCCTCACCCTGTGGCGCCTTCTCAGGGCCAGCCTGGGTCACAGGACGCCGTCACTCAGCCAGATCAGTATTTACCCAGCAGGGGAGGTGGGATTCGGTGAGAGACGCCGGCCTCAGACTTCTTCCCACTGAGGGTCCAGAGAGCGGGGCCATGTGTCACCCACATCTGCGCTTGGTCACCACCCTCCCCACCCTATGTGTGTTCATGTCATAGTTACATTAAATTCCATTCATTGAATACTCCGCGGCCTTCCTCCGTTGTGGCGTGGTCTCGACGACTCCTGCGTGACCACGGGCAGCTGCAGCGCTTGCCTGGTTTCGTCACTGACCTTCCCTGTGGCCTCACAAGGTGCCACCAGCTACTGCTTCCCGAGCTGAAACAGGAAAAGCAGCTGCAGGATGAGACAGCTACAGCGCTGGAACGTGGGCCACCGCTTCAGGGCCACGCAGAGGAGGCCACAGAGGCAGGTTCTCCTCTCCAACCTGTTCCACCCTCAGATGGCCAACAGCTGGTCCCCGCCTCTCCCCAGCCCAGTGGCCCGCTCCGAGCGTGGTCCTTGTGTCAGCAACATCCCTGTGTGCTCACTAGAAATGCAGGTTCTTGGGCCAACCCTGACCTGCCAAAGCCGAGGCTCTGGGGCCAGGGTCCCGGAAACCATTAACAAGGCCCTCGGGTGCTTTTTCTGTGAACTGCTACCTGGTCCACAGGGCAAACGGCACGTAGCTAGGATGCACCACCTGCTCCCGGCTCCCTGCCCCCAGTGCTGGTGGCCCTGCCTGGCCAGTGCCCTCTTGCCTTCATTCTCCCCCCTCTCTCCTTTCTTGCTGAGCTCACCCTCAGGCATCTCGTGGGCATCCATACTAACACGACCCAAGTAGAACCTTGGCTGTCCACCCATGCGGGTCTTCCCCGTCTCAGTGATGCTGCCCCAGCCGAGGGTGCAGGGCTCAGACGGAAGTCCTGCAGGCCTCCCTAAGGCCCCTCCCCTCACTGTCCACACCCGTACCAGCAGCCAGCCTGATGGCCCCTCCAGAAGACCCTGGGTCTGATCGGCCATCCTCGCTGCTCCAGTGTGGGCTGTCCCTGTCCCCACCCTGCAGAGCCCCCGTGCTGGGACACTGCAGGGACAGGAGAGGGCTGGTCCACAGGACAGAAGAGGGGCTTCGGTTTCCAGCGACAGAACAGATCAGCCCTGCAAACCCTCCACCGGATGGTAGAAACGCGAGAAATGAAGCAGACGCACCTTGCCATGCCCATAAAAACTCAAGATCTGCAGGAGCCCAAAACGAAGGAAGGAGACGTGGAAGACACCATGGGCTCGCGCCGGAGTTGCTCTTGGAAACCACAGGGTTTAGATTTGGGGGCCAGGTGGCAGATAAGACTTTGGTCCTCCGGAAATGGTGAAATGCAGTGGAAATGACTCCTGCATGAAGCTGGAGTCTCATAAGAGCCTCAAAAGATACTTGCAGTAAAAAGATGGACTAGAAAAAATCATTTGCCCTTCACCCCTGAGAATAAGCACTGTGTCCTCTCTTTGCCTGAGATCCAGAGGAGAAAAAGCCTCCCCTGAGGCCTCACCGCTTGTTTAGACCTGACATGTATAATACACCAATATGGTTTGCAGACACCCAAGCCAAGATGATTATGACACAAAACCTCCCTGGAAGGACCTAACTTCATCCCTTCTTACCGAAGATCCTCGCACACAATCCATCCTACACACAAGGACACATCCTCAAAATTACAAAACACGTGCGTAAAAGCAAACTTTAAACAGCAGGATGGGCCGGGCACAGTGGCTCATGCCTGTAACCCAGCACTTTGGGAGGCCGACGCAGGTGGATCACGGGGTCAGGAGAACAAGACCATCCTTGCCAACATGGTGAAACCCTGTCTCTACTATAAATGTAAAAATTAGCTGGGCGTGGGGGCACGCACCTGTAATCCCAGCTACTCAGGAGGCTGAAGCAGGAAAATCGCTTAAACCAGGGAGTCAGAGGTTGTAGGGAGCTGAGACTGCACCACTGCACTTGAGCCTGATAACAGAGCAAGACTCCATCTCAAAAACAAAAAAAAACCTGGCAGGATTAGATCCTCACGAACTTCAAAGACTATCGGGCATGTAAACAAATACGCTATGCAGTAAATGTGCTCCAGGTGAGTGGAGGCACAGAGACTCTCCACACTTGATCTTGGCCAAAAGGCAATGGCACAGGGACTCAATAGAAAGGAACAAAATGCTGTTGCAGCAGAACTGTTACAACATCCAACAAGGCAAATAATTTGCATGCGGATTATGCCTACAAATCAGAAAAAGGGAGAACCTAATAAAATGGGCAGTGCGTGAACAGCATGAAGAAGAAATACAAATGGCAAACGTTCAGGCAGGCATGGTGGCTCACACCTGTAAGCCCAGCACTTTGGGAGGCCGAGGCGGACAGGTCACTGGAGGTCAGGAGTTTGCGACCAGTATGGCCAGCATGGTGAAACCCCGTCTCTACTAAAAATACAAAAATTATCCAGGCGTGGTGGTGCCTGCCCGTAATCCCAGCTGTTGGGGAGGCTGAGGCAGGAGAATGGTTTGAACGTAGGAGGTGGAGGTTAGAGTGAACCGAGATGGCACCACTGCACTCCAGCCTGGGCAACAGAGCAAGACTCCATCTCAAAAAAAAAAAGAAACATAGGCCTGGCTCGGTGGCTCATGCTCATGCCTGTACCCAGCACTTTAGGAGGCCAAGGCAGGTGGATCACCTGAAGTCAGTTCAAGACTAACCTGGCCAATGTGGCAAGACCCCATCTTTACTAAAAATACCAAAATTAGCCAGGCACAGTGGCCGGCACCTATAATCCCAGCTAACAGGAGGCTGAGGCATGAGAAGCGCTTGAACCCCAGGAGGCGGCAGCAGCGATGAGCGAACTCGGCACCACTGCACTGCAGCCTGAACAAAAGAAAAAGACTAACTCAAAAAAAAACTAAGAACAAAGGCAAACATTTAACCACGTAGGTATTCAGGAAATACATACACATAAACCAAGACCACAGTTAGATGCTATTTCGCGTGCATTTTTTGAGACAGGGACTTACTGTGTTACCCAGGCTGGAGTGCAGTGGCATGATCATGGGTCACTGCAGCCTCGAGCTGCCAGGCTCACACAATTCTGCCTCAGCCTCTTGAGCGGGGACTACAAGTACATGGCACCATCCTGGGCCAATTTTTTGTATTTTTGGTACAGATGGGGTCTCATCATGTCCACACTGGTCTTCAACTACTGGGCTCAAGACGTCCTCCCACTACAGCCTCCCAAAGTGCTGGGATTACAGGCGTGAGCCACCTCGCCCAGCCTCCTGAACATCTAGAACGTGCTACCTGTGTGCTGACTGTGGGAAAGCTGAGAACATCCTACCTGAAATCATCTTTATGCCAGAATTCTCTTGCAGAAGTCTAGCTGAGAAAAGCCCTGAGAAATCCATGCACAAATATGTAGAGAAATACCAGGTGTACACTTACAGCAGCATAGTTCATCAGGGCAAGAAACTGGAAACCAACCAGAAGTCCCTCAGGAACATGGACCATGGTAGTCTATTCACACAACAGATCACAGCCGTGAAAATGAATTCAGGGAGGGCAGTGATGCGGCTCGGAATACATCTTAAACACTGAGCAGGAAAAATGTTTACCAAAGAGTGTGCAGTCATCTGGTACAAAATATCCCCGCACGCTTAGGGATTTTATATATCTCTATATCTCCTAGCACAGCACAGTTAATGACACACACACACTCCACGCTCCGCATCCTCTGCACCCGTGCATTCTACCCACAGTGGATTGAAAATACTTGAAAAACACTTGTGTCTGTGCTGAACATTTACGGTTTTTTCTTGTCATTATTCCTTAAATAATACACCATAATGACTATTTACCTAGCATCTACAGTGTACTGGGTAATCTAGAGATGATTTAAAGATGAGGTGCATAGGATATAGGCAAATGTGCCATTTTATAGAAAAGACTTGAACATCCTCAGATTGTGGTATCTGAGGGGAGTCCTGGAAGCAATCCCTTGAGGATACGGATGGATATATATATAATCTCCAGCAAAAGTCTAACAAAATACTTGAGAATTTGAAAAAATTCACATCCCTAGTTATCTCTGAAGGCAAAAACAGGAAGAGGGTATGACTGGGGCCTCTGCTGTATTGGCAATTTCCTTAAGCTTGGTGCTTAATTCTTTATGCTTTCTGTAGGTTTTTGGCTTGTTTTTTTTTGGATTTTTTGAGACAGAGTCTCACTCTGTTGCCTAGGCTGAAGTGCAGTGACATGATCATGGCTCACTGTAGCTTCAAACTCCTGGCCTCAAGAAATCCTTCACCTCGGCCTCCCAAAGTGCTGGGATTACAGGCGTGAGCCACGGCACCCAGCCCTTTTTGTAGTTCTTACTTTTTTTTTTTGAGATGGAGTCTCACTCTGCAACCCAGGCTGAAATGCAGTGGCATGATCTCGGCTCACTGCAACCTCCACCTCCCAGATCCTGGTTCAAGCAATTTTCCTACCTCAGCCTTCCAAGTAGCTGGGATTACAGGCACGAGCCATCATGCCCAGCTAATTTTTGTATTTTTTAGTGGAGATAGGGTTTCACCATGTTGGCCAGTCAGGTCTTGAACTCCTGACCTTGTGATCCACCCACCTCAGCCTCCCACAGTGCTGGGATTACAGGCATGAGCCACTGTACCCGGCCACTTTTTTAAGACAATGCAAAGCTGGGCCTGGTAGTGTACATCTGTAGTCCCAACTACTCAGGAGGCTGAGGCTAGAGGATACTTGAGCCTAGGAGTTCAAGGCCAGCCTGGCCAACATAGTGAGACCCTGTCTTTAAGCTAACAAAACACCAAAAGAAGAAAAAAAAAGACAGTGCAGATTTGGAAAAAAAATTCCTATAGATTAAAAATGTCACAGAAATTAACAACTTGGCACCGGGCTTAGTGGCTCATGCCTATAATCCCAGCAATTTGGGAGGACAAAGCGGGCAGATCATTTGAGGTCAGGAGTTTGAGACCAGCCTGGCCAACATGGTGAAACCCCGTCTCTACAAAAATTACAAACAAATTATCTGGGTGTAGTGGTACACACCTGTCATCTCAGCTACTCAGGAGGCTGAGGCAGGAGAATTGCTTGAGCCCAGGAGGTGGAGCTTGCAGTGAGCCAGCATGGTACCACTATATCCCTGCATGGGCGACACGGCG